AGTGATATCAAACGTTATAATTCTTACATTGTCTTCTTGGCTGGTCGGTGGATAATGTGGTTATGCTTGCGAACCTAGTTAGGATTTACTGTCCTTGTTATGCGATTTCCTTTGTAATCTCGTTTCCGGACAAGCTTCATGTATGCTTTTTTTTCTCTCAAACGCTCATACGCAAATTCGAAATAAAGATCTAATTTTTTCTATAAATTCGTTTTATTGTCTTTACATATTTTATGCATCTGTTTGGTTACTTGTCGTTGGTTCTCGCAGAGATCTGAGACCTCTGGAAAATTAGAGTTTTCCTAACTTTCCTAATTTAAATGGAAATCAACGATGTGAATTTTTATTCCCACATGACACATCTCCGTGAGGCGTCAAGCTGTGAGGTCGTTCCCTATCCCTCGACATTTCCAACTGAGTGTCTTCGTTGATAAGGATTAGATGGATCTTTGGAGTCCACCTTGACTTTCTTATGAGTTTGTGTTATTCTTGTTGCATTCTTTGAGATACTTGCTCCTCTTGGCTGAGATCTCTCCCGGTTATTAAAGTTCAGCTAACTACTGGTAAGACTTACGCATCTCATCCATGTTGGATGCAAAGAGAGACCGTGCTACGCTTCTAGTAATTTTCTTAATATCCTCGTCATTCACCGAGGATGACTCCGCCTATCTTTGATTATAAGGATCTTTCTGCTTTCATCCTTTCCTGAAGTTTCTCCCGATGGAAAATGTTTCCTTGATAGCTCCATATCTTGGAGCTCCTCTCCCAAGAGATCACCGTCTGGCCGGACCATTAATTCACCACCTTGCAAATTTTCAAGCATAGCATCCTTAAAATTCTGTTCATCATCGTTTAGTGCCGCTATAACTAGAGCATCTGAAGGTGGAATAGCCTCAGCTTCGTTCATTATTTCTTCCAAGTCCATAAATACTTTTGATGATCATTCTCTGTAGTAGCGCAGAAAGTTACATTGTTAGCCACAATCTCATACTGAATCTTCTGTTCTTTGAGCTCACATGAATCTGGTTTCTTTGAGTCCAAACGATTCACATCCCTCTTAGATGAGCCAGATCCTCCTATTTTGTTTTTTCATTCTCTCATACACATGTTTGGGTTCTCTTTCCATACTTTTTAACTGTCTTTCGCTTTTCCTCTTTGAAACCATGAGCGTAAGGATTGAAACGATGATCTCTGACGTTTTTGTTTGGATGTACATGAGAAAAGTAAGAAGAGAGATGAACTTGAGAACCACTTATCTAATCCGTCTGATCATTATTTTCTCCTAGAGCTCGAGGCCGACTATAAAAGCTAGCTTTTCTTGCTCCTCCGACGCCCTCTCTTGCTTGGTTAAACTTTGAGTGAAGTTGTTTACACTCTGACCGAAATCTTCTTTCTTAATCCACGAGAAAACAGAACCAGGAGACAGCTGCTTTTTCTCACAATCAGAGTACTCATGTGACATAAGGCCACATGTTGAGCAATGTTTAAACAGCCTCTCATAATGGAGCTTAATAGTCATCTCCTCACTATTCCTTGTCTGAAGCTTTCTTGCGAATTTAATAGGCTTCCTTAAGTCAATTACACTTGGATTTTACCCTTTGTTGCATCAACAAGTTCGACTTTTTCTAGTTTTTCACCAATGCTATGTAGATTAGGCTCACTAGATAGATGGAGAGGTATTCCTTGGTGTTGAATCCAAAAGAGCATCATGGTTGGATAATCCTCGTCAATAACCGGTTCCCATCTCACTAGTACAAACATACAAAAGTTGAAATGGTATGGCCCCTGGCTTAATACATGGTTAAGATCATCCTCATTCTCAAAGTTGAGAAGAAATCTGCCATTACCAAGATCACATGAATCAATCTTATCTTCCAAACCCACTGAGTTGGCATCTTCTCCAGCAGTTTTTCAACACTTTATTTTTTAGGAACTAGAATCTTGCATATTAATGATAGACTATATTCCTTAATGAGATTCTCATCAGCAGGGTTGGCCTATGTCTGGTAAGGGACATACTCAAATTTTAAAAAGGGGTCCTTTTTCTACTGTAATATAAAAAAAAAACTTTTCAGCTGAAAAAAAACTCAAAATTTTTGATGGATCCTAAACCATTGCTTACTCTGCTTGTGCTCTGGGCCGGGCCTGCTCATCAGCCATATCTGGTAATTGAACCGGTTCGTCATTGTCTTCCTAAGAGAGGATTCCTTTGACTTTATGCGCCATTAGACGTCCGATGGTGCAGTTGTTATATCCGGTGAATGGTTTATCGAAGAATCAACCAAGGAGATCAAAGAGATCCATTCTTACAGTCTCTGATGGTTGGACATAAGCGTGAAGGAGATTGCCTGGAGCCTAACGATTCTCTCTAGGCATTCAAATGAGGTATAAAATAGGGTCCATCCGCATGTTCAAGTAAAATATCACTACAAGAAAACAGGCGGATTCCGACGGCCATTTAATTTCGTCGAAATACGGTTATTCTAAAGAAATTCAGACAAAAATGGCTGTTGGAATGGATTCGTCGGAAAAAAAGTTTCATCGAAAATTCGTCACTAATTCCGAAATAAATCTGGCAGATACCGGCGGATTTCCAACAACATGTTCATCGTATGAGTTTCATAGATAATTTGTCGGATTATGTTTACGACAGAAGTGGTCATCGGAAAACATTTTCGACCAAATTCCGACAATATAGTTAGCATGAAATTTCCGACGGACTAGGTTTCGTCGGAAATTTCAGACGGATTTAGTTTCGTTGGAATATATAATACATTTGTTTCTAATTATTTATTATTTTTTATTAAGTGAATTTATATTTTAGAAATATTTATTATTAATCTATAAAACTGAAATTAAAAACAATATTATGAGAAAAAGTTTTACATAAATAAAAAAAAAAATTTCAAGTTTTAAATTAAAAAAAAACTAAAATTCGTTTGGGTACAACCGCTTCATCTTGTCCAATATCTCGGCATTGGACCTCTTTTGATCTGCCAATTCAGCAAGAGTTGTAGCGTTATGCGTCTCCAACGCTACAATTCGCTCATCCTCGTTTTGCAGCTGCTCCATAATCACGGGATCATGATGGACTTGTGAAAAAAGCTGGACACGAGGACGCACGACGAGCCAAACCGACCAAATGTTGTTTCCTCTTTGGAATCGTCTATAAGAAAATAAATTAAATTAAATATTAATAACCAAATTAAAATAGTAACGAAAGGAAAATTATTTGTATATACGATGCTTTCTCAAATGTTTATCCTAAGGAGAAACTTACTCTCTCAAATAAGAGATCTATTGCAGTACTTAGGGATCGAATCCACAAGGAGCTATGGAACCTATTAAATCTAATCAATCAATAACCTAGGTGAATATTAATAGTAAACGCAGTAAACCAGTAAACAAGAAATATTCCAATTAAGTAAGACAATTACTTAATCAAGAATGGAAAGAAGGTTCTTAAAACTAAAATGGAAAAGTGTTAGACTTAGAGCTTTTATTCAGGTATTAGGTATATAGGAGCTATCCAGTTTTTTACATGGTATTAAAAGGGCATTAACTATCTTAACAACGAATTTACTAAACTCTCATTTAAATAAATAAATCTGTTGACCAGAAGGTCGTTGACCTAGACAAGAATGTCCGATCAATAACAGTGTCGATCAATTATTCTAGAGGAATATCGACCGATTCACTTTACTCATCATCGATCGATTTCTTATTGGAATATCGATCGATGAGTCCGGTCAAGCATTACACATGAGTTAACAAAGACTCACAAGGATCCTAGATCAAACTCTCGCTTTATTTCCAGTGAAGTCCTAGTTTAATCAAGACGTGCTCAAGACTATCAGAGTTATTCAAAAGTGATTAAACAACCTTACAATCCCAAAATCAAGTTTCTAGTTAGCAAGTCTAGAACAAGCATTAAGAATCATCCTATTAATGAATACCACAACAAGCAATCCTATAGTGGGGGAAAATCCTAAACCTATTTAAACCCTAATTCTAACAAGTGAACTACTCAGACATAGCTAAGCAATTCATAACACAAATAGATAAATAAAACTGCATATTTTAGATAGATAGATTAAAAACACTGGACTTCCAATCACAAATCTCTCTGATGATCTTCTCTCAAAACTAAAAACCCTAAAACCTTTTGCTGTGAAAAGAATACACTTCTCTCTCTCTAACACTTTAGCAGAGTATATAAACTTAGGTTAAAACTCGCCAGTGGTAAAATCGTCATTTAATGATGTTTGGACTTCAAGTCAACTTGTATCGTGAATTGGTCTCCGCGTCTTGGGAATCGATCGATCATGCAGGATGTATGTCGATCGACGTGAGTCGCTCTGTGTCGACCTCGATCGTCGTGGTCGATCCAAATCGAGTGATTACTCCAGTTTTCTCTAAAATGCTCCAAAACCTTAGTTTCTTCCAAAATACTCATGAACCTATAAATATCCTTAATAGTAGTAAAAAAAACCACTATACCATGACAAAAAATGGGTCAAATTCATGGTATATCAATATAAAAATAACATAAAAATTAAATAATTTTTAAATAAGATTAAAATGTTTTATATTTTAAAAATGTTTATAATTCCTAAATTCTAATTATAAATTTTTAAAAATGTTTCTAATTTGTAATATATATATAGATTAAAATATTTTATATTTTGAAAATGTTTCTAATTCTTAAAAAATAATTATAAGTTTTAAAAAATATTTATAAGTTGTAACAAGTTTATATATATATATATATGTATATATTTAAATAATATAAAATGTTTTATACATTATATAAATGTTTATAATTCAAAATTTCTAATTATAATTCCAAAATTCTAGTTATAAGTTTTGTAAAAAAATAAAACGTTTATATATATTTAAAAAAAATTAAAAACGTTTTATAAAAATATTTAGCATATAAACTTCGTAAAAATACCATATAATTCCTAAAATCTACAAATCTAACATCTAAAACTTTCAATCTACAAATAAACCACAACCTAAAACAAAATCTAACAACATATGCCTCCTAAAACTATCAATTCTATTCTAAAAATTCACATTCAAAACCTAAAATCCACAAATACAACATTCTAATCCTAAAGAAAATCTAGGGTAAAGAAGGGTTTAGATGACATACATGATTAGGGGAGAAATTTGGAGGGTTTGAGGTTAAATTTACTGGTTTGTGAGAGAGTGAGGAGGGAGAGTCGTGGAGATTGCAGAGAAGAAGAGAAGAAAATGACGAAGAAGAAGAGTGTTTGGGTTATGTATTAAAAACAAACTGACAGATTTAAACGGTTAACCAAAAAATTCGCAAATCTTCTTCCCAGATAAAGTGAAAATTTCTGACGGAAAAGCGTCCGTCACACTATTTTCGTCGAAATTCTGTCAGAAATTTCTGATAAATTTCTGACGACCTTAACATATTCTCTGCATGTATTTTGATTGGTCAGGGAAATTTTTTTCAGAATTCCGACAATTGAGGATTTGAGGATTCAAAACAACAATCTAATGATCAAATACAAATATTTGATAGTATCTAAATGATTTACAAGAGGTTTAACTAAAAAAATAACCGCTTCACTCAATATTAAAAAATCAGAATATATTCTTAGATTACCGTAATATGCTTTTAAAAGTATATAACTGTTAATGGAAGATGTTACCAATACGTTGATATGTATACGTAAATAACTTTTTTTTATATCAAAAACTTTAACGGGCGTGAATTAATTTCATATTATACACTTATATATGTGTTATCTGAATATTTTAAATCCAAATATACATTTATAATAAATTTGCAAATATAAAATAGGCTTCGTCGGAAATCCATTGGAAAATTTTGAAAAACATTCCGACCAATTCCGGATGATACTCAGAAGGCCGTCGGAGTTTCGTCGGAATATTCCAATGGATTTCTGACGAACTTCAAAGCCTCAAATTTTAAATTGGCAGTCAGAATTTTGTCAGAATCCATAATTTTATCCATTTGTTTTATTTTATTTCACCAACTTATAAAAATACTTCAATAACTTAGAAAAACTTTCAATAACTTATTAAAAATAATTCCAACAACTTAAGACCTTGATTGATACGACAAATAATAAAGCATTATGCCTCTATTGGTACGGCAGATGATAAAGCATTAGCAGTATGCTGTAGAAGCAGTATGCTGCAGAAGTTGTATGCTTTCATTAAATTTTTTAATAAAGTGATTGGCAGAGCCGTAGAACTATACAGTTTTAAAATTATTATAAAAGCTAGTATAATAAAATATTTATATTAAAATATATTTATAGATTTATAATATATAGACTAATAATATATTTGTTATTAAAAATAATTAATATTATTCATTATATAAATTATATATATTTTATATGTGAAATATTATTATTTAAAAACTGTAATTTTTTTTTAAAAAACTATTCAAATTATTATTATTATTTATAGATAGAGCAATAAAAGATTCATATATAAAATTATCATAAAAATTAATATATGTTATATAATTTTTTATTAGTGTCTAAATAATATATATATGTTTATATCTATAATATAAATATATATTATTTTATGTTTGTTATTAAAATAATAAACTATATGTGTAATTATATAAATTATATTATGTTTTAAATGTGAAATATTTTTATTTTCAATAATTTAAAAATTATTACTTTTAATTAATTTTATTTTTAAAAATATAAATTTATTTTCGATTTTAAAATTTTTTTTATATTAATAAACTAAAATAAATTAATTCTATATAATTATTTTTAAAATTTTATATATTGTAACTGCAAATGTTCTCCCAAAAGCTCTATTAGAGAGAATTGAGCAAAAAGCATTTGGACAGCATTAGCATTTAGGAAATGTTTTTCCAAATGCTTCTTTGACAAATGTTGATTGGATAATAGAAAACATAATGCTTATGCTAATGCTCAATCAGTATGCGGCATAAACTATATGATTTCATTAAAGTTTTTAATAAAGTGATAGGCACAACAGTAGAAGTATACAATTTAAAATTATTATAAAAGCTAGTATAATAAAATATTTATAATAAAATATATTTATATATTTATAATATATAGATTAATATTATATTGGTTATTAAAGTAATGAATTTTATTCATTATATAAATTATATATTTTTTATATGTGAAATATTATTATTTAAAAAGTGTAATTTTTTTAAAAATATATTCAAATTATTATTATTTACTGATAGAGCAATAAATGATTCATACATAAAATTATTATAAAAATTAAATATATGTTATATAATTGTTATTGTGTAAAAATATATATATATGTTTATATCTATAATATATAAATTTATATTATTTTATGCTTGTTATTAAAAATAATAGACTATATGTGTAATTATATAAATTATATTATATTTTAAATGTGTACTGTTCTTTTAAATAATTTAAAAATATATACTTTTTATTTTAATTTTAAACATATAAATTTATTTTTTTGATTATAAAAATATTTTTAAACTAAAATAAATTAATTATATATAATTATTTTTAAAATTATATATATTGTAACCGCAAATACTCTCCCAAAAGCTCCATTAGAGAGCATTAAGCAAATAACATTTGGAGAGCATAAGCATTTTTTTTTTTGCCTTCTGAAATAATATATTAATCCAAGGAGAGGAAAAGTAAATCAAGAACTGTTTCAGAAATACATAAACCTCCGCCACATACCAACTACAAGCCGGAAACAACTTAAAATATGACACTACACTTCTCACAATAACACCACTTCACCAGCATCATACTTCGTTATCCATCATTTCCAAAGAGAGGAAGGTTAGAGGCAACGACTTTCATTGACAAAGAACTCAAAAATCCAGGCCGGATGGCCTAAGGCCACATACGATTGAAGCCTCCCTTCTCTTGTAACACTTTGAGCTATGAAAGCCGCCCCTCTGTTCTCCTCAATTCTGACATATTTGAATTGGAACTCTGATATCAACTCCAGGAGCCTTTTAATCTCCTCAACTTGATGCCTAAACTCTGGCCACAGATGTGGTTTTTGGATAGCAAGAAACAATTATTTGAAATCACCTGCAAACACCACCCTGTTGTGATGCATACTTGTCATGCTCTAACAGCCCATAGAAGAGTGCAAAATCTAGCCTCATCCAAACTACCAACATTCGAGAAGGCTCTTCTGCCATGACTGAGTACCACTCCTCTATGGTTCCGTGTCACCCAAGCAACCCCGATAAGTCTTTTCTCTTTGACCCATTCCAGCGCCACATTACACATTAGCCAATCTTTGGTTGGAGGGGTCCAACGGGTAAGAGCTTTCACCTCCTTTGCTTGTATTTCCTTAGCAACTTCATCCTCAACAATGTGCCACATGAACCATTCTTCTGATTCCTTCTTAGCCTTACTCTGTATCTCAGCAGAGGACCATCTTATACCATTAAATATAAGGCCGTTTCAGATTTTCCATATAAACCAAAGCACCCAAGGCCATGAACGTTTATCTTCAAAAAAACCTCTATCGCTGGACATAGAATCCATAAGGTAATACATGTTGTTGAAAACATTCCTATTTTGAAATTCAAATTCCGGTTGCGGAATACCCGACAAGGCCCATACATGTCGCGACGCAGGGCATTGGAATAGCACATGGTGTATCGTTTCTCACTCCAATCCACACAGTTGACATCTATCATCCATGTTCATTCCTCTCCTCAAGATTAACTCCGCCACCGGCAATGCCTCACTCAAGGCTTTCCATAAGAAGATTCTTATCTTTGGAGGAGTGAGGACTTTCCAAATCTTTTCGTTAATTATGTTCCGAGAGGGGAGCTCTAGAGCTTCTGGATGGTTTTCTTTGATCTTGATCTCTCTGGCCACACCATATGCAGACTGGACAGTTAAATTTCCGCTTCTGCTATGTTTCCAAGTGAATGAATCTAACTTCGTGGGAGCTGGTTGCTTTGCCATAATCAGGTCCACATCTTCTGCCACGAAAATTTCCTCTAGAGCTCGCAAGTTCCATCTTCTTGTGTGAATATAATTGAGAGTATTAGCCCTTAGGTTTACGTTAAAAACGCAGTTCTTTATCCACGAACTCTCATTCCTAAGACGGGGTCATCCACCCATTTATCCAACCATACCCTCGTGTTCAAACCATTTCCAACTTGCCACTTCAAACCCTTCTCCATCAACTCTCTACCAAACAAAATACTCCTCCACGCAAACGAGGGTCTCGCCCCTAATTTCACATCAAGAAAATCTGATTACGGGTAATACCTGCTTTTGATAAGTATGGCTAGCAGGCTGTCAGGTTGATTAAGGAGTTTCCATCCTTGCTTGGCCAGCATTGCTTGGTTAAGGGTTTCAAGGTCTTTGAACCCCATTCCTCCCAGGTGTTTAGGAAGACATAACTTCTCCCATGAGATCCAATGGATCTTCCTGAGATGGGACTGAGAGTTCCACCAATAATTAGCCATTGAGCTGTTGATGTCCTTAATCAATGTTTTTGGCAATCTGAAACAAGACATCGGGAATACAGGGAGCGCATATGCTGTAGTCTTTAAAAGAATCTCCTTTCCTCCTTGAGAGAGCTTGCGCATATACCAGCTATCTAGGCGAGCATGTGTTTTGTCTTTTAAATATGAGAGTTGCTCGATTTTTGAGCCAGTGAAGCTCTCAGGAAGCCCTAGGTATTTTCTCTTGCCACCGACGTTATAGATGCCTAAGCAGTCTTGGATTTCTCCTTTCACGGTTTCTTGAATTAGTACCCGGCCCAAAAGAGATTGAGGATTTCTGAAGGTTAATGCATTGTCCAGTGGCTTCTCCGTAGAAGCTTAGGATCCGCTTTAAGTTCCTAGCCTGAGATGCATTAGCTTGACAGAGGAACAGGCTATCATCGGCGAAGAAGAGATGATGTATCGATGGACCAGCCTCTGAGAATCTCATTCCTTTTAACAGATTATTTCTTTCAGCCACCTCCAATAAATGCGAAAGACCCTCCGTACATAGCACGAAAAGGAACGGGGAGAGGGGGTCTCCTTGACGGATACCTCTAGATGGTGTAATTAGACCAAATGGTTGGTCGTTTATTAGCACCGCAAAGGAAGCCGAAGTGACACACATCATAATCCAAGTGATCCAACGACAGTCAAAACCCAAAGCTTTTAGTAATGCTTCCAAATAGCTCCACTCCACCCTATCATAGGCTTTAGACATGTCGGTTTTAATCGCCATGAACTCTTTGGAAATCTACGAGTCAGCTTTAAGCGCATGGATCGCCTCATGAGCTATAAGAATGTTGTCTTGGATCATCCTTTCATTCACAAAGGCTGATTGATTTACAGAGACAATATCACTGAGGAAAGGTTTGAGTCGCTGAACCAGGATATTAGAGACCACCTTATATAGCAGACTAATCGGTCTCAAATCAGCCATATTATCTGGATTTGGAATCTTGGGGATCAAGCAAAGGTACGTGAAATTCCAATTATCTGGCAGTCTACCCTTTTCAAAAACTTCTTGTATCTCTTTTGTCACTGCTTCACCGATGGTGGGCCAGAATTGCTGGAAAAATAAGCCTGTCATCAGGGCCCGGAGCACTCTCTGCCTTGATGGAGAAGATAGCGTCCTTGACTTCCTCCTTCGTAATCTTAGCCGTTAGACATTTATTCATGGCATCTGACACTTTAGGCCTCATACTCTGGAAAACAGGTTCATAAGATGGCGGATTAGAAGTAGAGAAAAGCTCCTTGAAATAGTCCAACGCAATCTTCGATTTTTCAGCATCAGACCAGTGTTCAGTCCCAACTTTATCTTTCAGTTTACTCAGATGGCGTCTTGATCTGTTGGCCATAACCGAAAGATGGAAAATTTTTGAGTTACAGTCCCCTAATCTGAGCCATTTTTCTCTACTTTTTTGTCTCCAGAACATCTCTTCTTCCTTGTATGCTTGCATCAGTTCCTTCTTGATATTGTTGATCACGAACCAGCATGGATATGGCTTCGATTGGAAATATTCCAGTCTTTGATGAAGTAAGTTAATTTTGTCTCTTGCATTAAATCTCTGTTTTCTTTTCCATTCACTCATAATTCTTCTGCTTTTACAGATTTTAAAAAGCACTTGAACATTGCTGGAGCTTTGCTTCCAAGCCCTCTCCACTTCACGCTTAATATCAGGGTGATGAAACATCCTTTTATCAAACCTGAACTGACCCATAGGCGCCTCTGCTGTAGCTTGGAAGCTCACCAGAACTGGTCGGTGGTCTGAACCCCTTTTATCCAGGTAAGATTGATTTGATCCTGGAAAGAGCTTAAACCAAGCTTTATTCCCAAAACATCGATCAAGACAACATTGTATCCATTTTTTCCATCTCATACCACCCCATGTAAATCTGTCTCCTCTGCTTTTGAGCTCCACCATCTCATAGGATTCCAACATTTCAGCAAAATGTTTGAAAGATGATTCAGGTCTCCTCGGGCCTCCACTTTTTTTCATCATTGCTGCGGATCTCATTAAAATCCCATACAATGCTTCATGGCTTAAGTCTCCCAATACTTAATCTTGATAACCTTTCCCTTACCACACTTCTTCCATCTGAAGCCGGTTCTCCGTATACGCACGTCAAAAAGAAAGTAAAATCTCCATAACGCACAAAACAGTCCACAAGATTTTTATCCGACGATTTAATGTTAAGGATTACATTTTTCTTCCACAAAATAGCTAGCCCCACCACTATATCCAACTGGATTTACAGTGTGAACTCGCTCA